TGTGTGTGTGTGTGTGTGTGTGTGTGTGTGTGTGTTTGTTTGTTTGTTTGTTTTCGTGACATATCAGGACATTTTTAATGAAAACACACCTTCAATATTAGGACAGTTGGAAAAATGGGGACATTTTTTGGGTCCTAATATTTCCGAGCATACCAGAGTTTTCTACATGCCCCCAACATGCTCCTAAACCAAAAATCTTGAATGTCCTAAAATGTCACAATTCTAAGAAATTTTGTGTGTAAGTGTGTGTAGCGTTTTTGCTCAACTTCAAATACGCCAACTAGTGGCCAGTTTTGGAACAAAACACACTTTTCGCACACTTCTACCCATATGTCAAGATTGTCAGAAAACACACTCTTCAACATTGGTAGCATTTTTAACTATGAAACCAAATAATGAGTGAACCAGTGCCACAGTTGTCATCTTGAAGTGAAAGTGGATGTCATGAAGCTGCTAGATAGGTCTTTTTAGATAACGTCATCAGGAAATTTGACCGTTGCAGATGTTTCTAAACATTACCTATCCATTATACTGTTGGGTTTTTATTTATTTATTTTTAACTGTATCTACTCCAACGATTTCTGTCTGTTTTTATACACTGACTTATTTTTTCTCACCTAAATTTCTTTTCAGGTCTACCAAATATTATAAAGACCTATAGAATTCTGTCTTATCCAGATGTCAACATCTATTTATCGTGATTGTACTTTTTTTCTCTTTCTTTAATTCATTTTGATCAATGCAAATGCTTTGTCGATTACTATGTGACGTGTGCTGATGACCACTTGACCAGGTCACCCTTGTAAAAGAGATCTCGATCTCAACGGGCTCTACCTGGTTAAATAAAGGTCATTGATTGAATTGATTGAATTTTTTACTGTTTTGTGGAAAATGCTGTTTATGTAAGAACATAATTATTATAAATTACCATATATTTGTGTAAAATAAAGGGCTTTTTATTGTTATCATTTCCTATGCTAAGCATTTTCACATTTTGGCTACAACTTCCAATCCTAATAAAGATGTGTCTAGTCATTAAAAAAATAAATAACATTAATTACTGTTTTCTAACTGTTTTAATTTGTAAATACTGTTTTTACATACACCTTTTGGCTACTAGCTTTGGCCAGGAAATAGCTAGAGCTATGAAACTTTCAGGAAACTTAGAGTACATAAGCTTGACAGTGTCCTCTGAGTTTTGTGGCCATAGCTACAAGCTAACTCACTGAAAGGGGTTGAGAGTTCTGTAAATCTCCATCTGGGACAGTGTTCGAGGCGAAAACGCAACACTTGTTTGCTACTAGCTTCAGGAAACATAGAGTTTATCAGAAGCCTGGTTTGCCCCATAAACATTTCCTTTGCCTGTAAAGTGCCAGTTTACGCCCGTCGCAGGGGCCAAAATGCGCAATGCTCCAGGGACTCCAAAATGCAAAATTCATAATAAAAATTGAATAAGAGGCATGATTTCACACCCAGAGTCCAATACACTTGGTCCCATTGCTGTATGAGGTCCCTGAAAAAGGTTGGCCCCTGCTAGTAAGGGGCCCCTGGCTCTGACATATGTTAACCCTTTAAGGTCTGGCGTCTCAGTGGCTGTTTTTAACAAATTTTGAATTTACCCTTATACAGCATTTCCACCTTAAAAACTATTTACCTTGCCTTCTTTCAGCAGCACTGAACAGATACCGCTGTATGACACAGCTTTTCTCAGCTTGTTTAACTCCGAAACTGAAGAGGACCGACAGTTTCAGTGTGCCGGAGGACGATGAATGAGACTTGAGAATGAGACTGATGAGATGAGAATAAGACTTTTTGTTGGACCAGAAACGGTTAAAGAAAACTACCAAAATAAGGTCAGTTAAATGACCCGTATTCCTCCGAACTTTACCGGTAATTTCTAAAGGTTTGCTTTTTATGTTTTAATTCCAGACCTCTCGCC